ACAAGCACAAGCTAATTGGGGACACTAATCTAATCAACGATTATTAATCAATTAACAATAAAAATTGTAAAATCTAAAAAAAAATAACATAAATAACACGACCTGCAGAGATTGCAGTAGTCACTATTATTATCTAAAATACTCGCAATATCTAATTTACGTATGCTAGTTTTAAACAACTGGAGGCTGGGTGATTGTTTGACCAGTTTGTTAAGTCAGTTCCACAGCGCAGGTCCGAAATAACGTATTGAGCGTTTCCCATAGTTAATAGTATTGAATCGAGGTAGATTGAAGTCTTTCTTTCTCAGATTGTAGCTTGAACTATTTAAGCTAAAAATTTCGGCAACATTGGTGGGGGCAAGCTTATGCTTAACTTTATACATAAGGATAGCAATGTCTTGAAGTCTACGATTATACACAGTAGGTAATCATGATCTTTCGAGCAGTGTCTCATAGGTACCTGACTTTGTTCTATACACTGCTTTTAACCCGCGTTCTTGAAGGCGTTCAATTTTCCTGCAGTCAGAAGCCTTGCAAAAATGCCATATTAAGTGACAATAAGTAAGGTAGGGTAGGATAGAAGACTTATAGATTGGAGAGCACGGATGGCGAAGGAGTGAATGCGATCGCCAGCCAGCTCGCCCTACTTTTTTTTACATTTCAACTCCCAGATCTGATTAACCTGTAACTTCTGCCCATGATATCCGTGCTTTATCCAGCTAACAGTTCAAGAGAATACTCAAACTTATCAGGTTGAAGTTTTTATCTTGATCTAACTACAAATTCTTGTAGCTAATTTACAAGGGAATGTGTAGAAGCTAGATGGGAGAATGAGCGATCCAACCTTAGAAGTGTAAGGGTTATCATAAAAGCAGAGTATACAAAAATGAGGTAATTGTAAGGCAGAAAAAAGAATATAACAAATGAAGGCCAAAGAATAAAAAAAAGATATCACTTATTCAGTCAGAGGGATACTCAAAACCAAAAATACCTCAGACTTGTTTTGGCTCTGCAATCTGATTGCAGTGAGAGAAACTTAAAGCAATACCTGAAAACTTCGCAACACAGTCTGAGGAAGGATTTCCCACAGTTTTATGATAAAATTAAGGAGGCTGGTAGTTTGTCACAGGACGTCATCGACGTTTTGGTTGAGTCGCCATGTTTTTTTTTTTCTCTGAAACATTCCTATTATTTTCACGGTGCTTGTCCTGTTTGGTCCACAGCATGAGTTTCCTGTGGTTAGTGACATCAGACACCTGTTGCAAAGCATCGCTGCTGTGTGACAGGCGGACTCAGTTAATTACAGAATTATATCGGTTTTCTACCCTTGTGAGCTTGATTTTTGTTATTTTTTATTGCAGACATTAAAAAGCAAACTCTCTCTGTGCGAGAATCTCATCAGTTTGAATAAAGTCGCACTGTGTGCGCACTGTGATCCTCAGAAAGGTGAGAATTATGCGTCGATCAATTCGAAGCTTTCATATCCCCCTTCCCCGGGAAAAATTGTGTTCAAATACGCCATTAAAGCGCCGGATTTGATCGTAATTTTTTTTTTTTTTTTTTGTAAAACACAAGATCAGGGTGGGTCAAGTGAGAGGTAAGAAAAGTTTTCTCAGGTAACTATCACTTGCACTCCAAATGAAAGTCAAGATGGTTTATAACCTCAATAGGAAGAAGTTGGGTCATTTGGCTGTGTGCAAGCGTTGTCGAGATATTGAGCAGGGAAGTACCAAGGAACAGGTTCGCTGTTTTTCATAGCTTTTTATAGCAGGACTCAAACTGTGAGGACTTCGGGATTACGAGTGCAGTGCCTTTACCAATCGACTACGCCACCATTCGGGTTGTATCATTTTTCCCAGTTTCTTATTTATATTAGATACCAGAGAAGTTTTATCTGACCCCAAATTTTGACCGTCTTTTAACTTGAATTTTTTTTACTTACGTTTTAATTTGTTCTTCTGTTTCAGCTCCTCTTTCTCCACCCACATCATCTCTCCGCAAAAATAACGAATCGCCGACAACACCAAGTATAGCAACCTCACCCTTGAACGAATCACCATCCCCAATAAGAAAAGCCGCCCCCAAAGTAGAAAGCAATCCGGCGGTTTATCCCGCAGGTCATCCCGCAGGTCATCCCGCAGGTCATCCCGCAAGTTATCCCGCAAAGTCCCTTCCTGTTTTAAAGTTAGCTCTCCCAAAAGCAAAGAATGTTCCCAAAGCTGCTCCTGTAGTAAAGAATATCTCTCCAGAGTCCCCCAGACCCGAACCCTCGGGATCACCAAGTATTTCGGGTTCGCCTTCATCAAAACATGTATCGCAATGGAGCGTGAAAGAGGTCGTGGATTTTATACGAACAACTGACTGTTTTAAGTTTGCGGACGAGTTTCAGAGACAGGTAACAACGAAGTTGGATTATTTAGCAAACAGAATTTTTTGGGGGAATTTATTCAAGTCTTATTTTCTGGTTAAAAGTTTGTGACTAATTCTGAGATGGCAAAATTGATCTTTTCTGTGGAATTCATGAGGGGGAGGTCGTAGAGTAAAGAGAGTCTATAAGGGGAATTGTAGAATATTGA